AAAAAAAAAAGCAGAGATGAGTACTTGCAACACAGACTTTATGGTCTCCAAAGATGAAAATATTTACTATCTAGTCCTTTACAAAAAAAGTATGCTGATCTCTCCTCAGGGCCAGGCCTATAGTGAGGCAAGTGCAAACTTTAAGGGGAAGCCAAAAAACTCAGTAATTAAGGGGCCAGGCACAGTGGCTCATGCCAATAATTCTAGCACTCTGGGAGGATGAGGCGGGTGGATCCCTTTAGCTCAGCAGCTCAAGACCAGCCTGAGCAAGAGCAAGACCCCTGTCTCTTAAAAAACAGAAGAAATTACCAGGGTGTGGTAGCAGGCGCCTGTAGTCCCAGCTACTTGGGAGGCTGAGACAGGAGGATCGCTTGAACCCAAAAGTCTGAGGTAGCTGTGAGCAAGGCTGATGCCATGGCATTCTAGCCTGGGAGACAGAGTAAGACTCTTGTCTCAAAAAAAGAGGACGAGGGGCGGCGCCTATGGCTCAGTGGGTAGGGCACTGGCCCCATATACTAGTAGGTTTGAACTCGGCCCTAGCCAAACTGCAAGAAAAAATAACCAGGCATTGTGGCGGGTGCCTGTAGTCCCAGCTACTCAGGAGGCTGAGGCAAGAGAATCGCCCAAGCCCAGGAGTTCAAGGTTGCTGTGAGCTGTGATACCACAGCACTCTACCAAGAGCAATAAAGTGAGACGCTGTGTCAAAAAAAAAAAAAAAAAGAGGAGGAGAGAGGAGGGGGGAGAATAGAGGGGAGGAGAGAAGACTCAATCAAGATAAATATTTAAATTCAGTATTAAACAAAAAGTGAAAATTGATTTTGTCATTTTGTTCCACATTGATCAACAACAACAACAAAAAAATCCATGGGCAGCACCTGTGGCTCAGTGAGTAGAGTGCTGGCCCCATATACTGAAGGTGGCAGGTTTAAACCTGGCCCTGGCCAAACTGCAACAAAAAATAGCTGGGTGTTGTGCCAGGCACCTGTGACTCCAGTTACTCGGGATGCTGAGGCAAGAGAATTGTCTAAGCCTAAGAGCTGGAAGTTGCTGTGAGCTATGACGCCAGGGCACTCTACCGAGGGCGATAAAATGAGACTCTGTCTCTTAAAAAAAAAAAAAAAAAGCCCATGATGAACAAAATACCAAAATTTTAAATGAAAACAAGCTCAGAAACAATGTTATGCCAAGCCAACAAAAAAAAAAAAGTAATGGTAAAGCAAGAAAAAAAAATCAGTAATATTGAGTATGCCTTTATTTAAAATGAATATATTCTGGTCACAACAATTTTGTGTATTTACGTCAAAAAAAAAACCCCCCAAAACTTACATGAAAGCATTTATCCTGATTATTGAGTTTTTTGGCATACATCACCCTTAAACTTTGGGCCCAAAATGAAGCCAGCCTTGTCTCTCCCTAGTCTCAGCCCCATAAACATCACTAGACAGATGTCAGTATTGTCTGATAAAGAACTAGGATGTATGGGGTGGTGCCTATGGCTCAGTGAGTAGGGTGTCAGCCCCATATACCGAGGGTGGTGAGTTCAAACCCAGCCCTGGCCAAACTGCAACAAATAAATAAACTTAGTTTAAAAAAAAGAACTAGGATGTGCAATTATATTCAGAAAACAGAGAACAAGTCCATGTGTTTTAGAGAGGTAATTAAGAATCCTTGGCTGGGCACCAACCTCCTGCCTGTAATTCCAGCACTTTGGAAAGCCAAGGCAGGAGAATTGCTTGAGAACAGGAATTTTTTTTTTTTGCAGTTTTTGGCCGGGGCTGGGTTTGAACCCACCACCTCCAGCATATAGGGCCAGCACCCTACTCCTTTGAGCCACAGGTGCTGCCCAAGAACAGGAATTTAAGACCAGCCTGAGCAAAAATAAGACCCCTTTTCTACCAAAAAATAAAAAAATTAGTAGGGTGTGGTAGTACACACCTATAGGCCCAGCTACTCAGGACAATCACTGGAGCCAGGTGTCTGATGCAGCAGTGAGCTATGATGCCACCACTGCACTCCAGGCAAGAGAGTGAGACTCTGCCTTTAAAAAAGAATGGCTTTGGCCCTACCTAACAACAGAAACAACACTGTCTGAAAGGACTTTTTTTTTTTTTGCAGTTTTTGGCCTAGGGCTGGGTTTGAACCCACCACCTCTGGCATATGGAGCCAGCGCCCTACTCCTTTGAGCTACAGGCACCGCCCAGTCTGAAAGGAATTTAGTAAGCCAAGGAAAAGAATCCTTTAAATCCACCAGGTTGTGTTCCCTTCCATTCTGCTTATGCAATACTTTTTTTTTTTTTTTGTAAAGACAGATGCTCACTTTATCACCCTCGGTAGAGTGCTGCGGCATCTCACAGCTCACAGTAACCTCCAACTCCTGGGCCTAGGCAATTGTCCTGCCTCAGAATCCCAAGTAGCTGGGACTACAGGCACCCACCACATCGCCTGGCTAAATGTAATACTTTTAATTTAGAAAACTTGCATGTAAATATTTTAAGGTAGGTTTGAATACTTTTTTTCAAATTATCAATAATAAAACCAATTAGCAATTAGGTTCATTAATATGTTGCCTAAGTATTTCAAAAAGCACAAAACACTGGCTCGGCGCCTGTGGCTCAAGTGGCTAAGGCGCCAGCCA